GTTAGGTTGTCCGAACCGTTCATGGTTTGAGCTGAACTGATAACGAGCCTGTCCCTTCCACCTTCAATCTCCTACTGACGAAATGACTCCTTACTGAACTCAAATATATTTGGCCTTCAAAATAATTAACTCGAAACCAATTTACCCAGGAAAAAGTTTCCGACTGTGAACGTTGACAATCTTTAAAATCGTTATTTTAGTAAAGAAATTTAACATTCATAACTCGTGCAATATTTACTAAAAGTCGACGACTGCTCTTGTATAAGCTTGTTGTCTTTGCTTTAGAAACTTAGGTTTCTTGATTATTACGTGTTAATATCTGTTCATGTTATTTTCATTTCATTTTCGGGATCTCTATACACCTAAGTTCCTACTAAAGAAGGTATTATTTGATTCTAAGGAAGACGATCGAACCTGCTTTTTCGAAGAAACTATAAATTACAATTTAAAAAGGTTGAAAATACTTTGGGCCGCTCCACCAAAATCAAAACTCCACTTTACCGCTGAAAAATCTTACAAATTCTATTAAGGAACCATCACCTTTCGAACTTCAACAGGGCGAAACCTTTGCAAGATACTCTATATTCTCTTTCAATTTTCTAAAAGAACAGGTGAAAAGTTTGATAAGTAATTACTGTGCGGACACGCTAACCAGGACCACTTAAATAAAACTGACCAATCAGATAACAGTAAACTAGACAGAGATTGAACTGATAACAGTGTTGGCCAATCAGATTATCACGTTGTCACGCTCTTCTTAATTATATGGATGCGCCATCTGATTGGCTGGTAAAAGGTATTGAACTAAATGTCGCAATATGATTGGTTAATGAGGCTAGTTTATCTAGTGTTGCCGGTTGGAGTATCCGCGCAGTAGTGGAACTTTGTAGGTTTGTGAAGTTTTTGTTGTTATCGTTTGACAACGATTTTCTTTTCTTCAGACCCGTTCATACCGGTTCACCGACCGCGTATTATCGCTCTGTAATTGCACTCAAAAATAGTGGTAATACACGGGAAATTAAGCGTGTCGTATAATAATACGCATTTTCTTTGTTTCTTTGTTTCTTTGTTTCTCTCTCTCTCTCTTTTTCTTTCTCTTTCTATCTTTCTTTCTTTCTTCCTTTCTTCCTTCCTTCCTTCCTTTCTTGACTTGGTATGGTTTTATATAAATATTAAATATCAATAACATTATAAAATTGATAACTATGTTAGGATNCATTTTTATTGTAAACAAGCAAACTTAAAAGTTACGACGTCAAACCTCAGACGTATGCCGCACAACGGAACACTAGAAAATTTCCTTGCGCTGGCATCAGCAAAAAAATAAAAAACACGTTCAAACCGGTTCACAGACCTTGTATTATCGCTCTGTAATTGCACTCAAAAATAGTGGTAATACACGGGAAATTAAGCGTGTCGTATAATAATACGCATTTTCTTTGTTTCTTTCTTTGTTTTTTTTCCTCTCTCTCTCCTTCTTTCTTTCTTTCTTCCTTCCTTCCTTCCTTCCTTTTTTTTCTATGCTTTTATTGTAACTTTAATGCAGCTTTAACTCAAAACCAATTGCAATTTACCCACCAATTAACGGCTGTTCATGCCATTTTCATTTCATTTTCGGTGATCTTTTTGTTGACGAAGTTTCCAGGATAAATTTGCCGATGCTTCATGTGAAATCACCTAGTGATCAGACAAGCTGCTTTACTTTTTAATTTGAAAAAAAAGTAATTAATTGAACTTCAAGGAAAAGGCTTTTGTTGGTTTTTGGTTGTTGTCATTTGAGAGCGATTTTCTTTTCTTCAAGCGAAAAAATGCTAATTTTTGTTTTATTCACGAAAACTCSGCTAACTATTTKTAGCTARTTCWGTAAAAAATGTTCAAAGTAGATTCTTTCACAAAATTACTTACTAATAGCTGTTTTTACGTTTTCAAGGAGTGAATTATGTTGTGGAAAGCCACTTTGCTTTCGAAAACTTGTCAAGATGGTAGTATTCAAATTTCATTGTCTTTAAAACAAGCTCGGCAAACATTTTTTGTTTTAGTTTTTATTCAGCATTAAATTGTTTTTTGTAAAATGAAAATTCTTAAAAAAAAAATTTCTAATTACTCTTTGCTAAAGTAGTCTGTCTTCTAAAAATGTGACATCTACATTCTATATTAGCTAACACAAGGATATTAAATATTTTCATAACCATCTGTTCGAGATATTACAGGTGGTTGGGTAGGAAGTCTAATATCTGACCAAACGAAGGGAAAAATATACTATATGAAATACATAAAACGTAATCATGTATCATCTATTGTGGAGACGTATAATCACAGGGAGCCCAAACTCGGCTTTTGTGGCAGTGTATTAATACAGTAAATATATGTTGTTAATAATAAAATGAATGGCCCTTTTTTCAAATAGTTTTGGGAAATCAATTTGTATTTTCCATCCTTTCCCTCCTGATGTGTCAGAGACCCTAAAGCTTGGAACGAAATTAATTTTTTAACTACATTATCCCAAAGTTCCCAGAGATGTGGAAGACGAAGTAGAGAACGAATTATGTGATACGAATTACTAACATCAACTAGAATATCTGTGGATGTTCCTTTTCACGGTGAATTTGGCGGCGAGAAAGATAATCAAAATATTGCCAAATGTTGGGGCGACATCAAAAGTCCATGTTATATTATACATGCTAACGCAAAAGGAATATTAAAAGATACTGTATGTGGCTATCGCTCGCTTTCAAGTTTCGAGGATTTCTGGGGTAATTCAATGAATTGTTTTGCCATCTGCCCGTCTTTCTTTTCTGTCCTGCTCTTAGTTAAAGCCATGTTTAGCGCAATATGAGTTTTTTTTGAACAAAAATAGCGAGGAAGGAGTAAGAAATGTCATATGATTTGATGGATATTGATATGAAAGAATATCATAAAGAGCTTATTTCACAATTCGTATNCTTTCCCTGATGATGTGTCAGAGACCCTAAAGCTTGGAACAAAATTAATTTTTTAACGACATTATCCCAAAATTCCCAGAGATGTGGAAGACCAAGTAGAGAACGAATGATGAGTGATACGAACAACCAACAGCAAGGAGAATGTCTGAAACGGTCATGTTGGTGAACAAATGATGTATGTTGCTTTTCACGGTGAATCTGGCGGCGAGGAAGATGATCAAAATATTGCAAAATGTTGGGGCGACATCRAAAGTCCATGTTATATTATACATGCTAACGCAAGAATATTAAAAAGATACTGTATGTGGCTATCGCTCGCTTTCAAGCTTCAAAGATTTCTGGGGGAATTGAATTACGTTTTTCTCATCTACCCGTCTTCCTTTTGTGTCCTGTTCTTAGTTAAAGCCATGTTACTGCAATCTGAGGCTTTTTAACAAAAATAGCGAGGAAGGAGTTAGAAAATGTGTTAAGAAATGATTGATTTAATATAAAAGAATATTATAAGGAGCTCATTTCACAAATGTTTTGTATTTTTTATTGAACGGGAATGATATATAGTACAAGAATTATTTTCCATCATAATAGACTACTAAGTTCAGTGCTATTCATTACTAGTGCAATAGTCTTTTAGCTGCTTGTCTGAATTCAGTTAGGAAAACAATATAAATRCAAGGACTGAAGCAAGAGTTGACTAGAAAAAGGAAATCAAGAATAAAGTGTAACGTGTTCCAATCAATAGTGCAACTGGAATATGGCGGAGATACTGAAAACACTCTGGAAAAGTGTAAAGCAAGATAAAAGAAATGGAGAAAACCTGGAAGATAACAACAGGTGTAAAGTAGAGTCGAACACAACACCATTTTCACTGCCTTAGCTGTTTGTTTTTCTCTAGCTCTCTTCTGTTCGTTAGAAAAATTGCCTTGCGGGAAGGTTCGACGTGATTTGCAAAGTCTGAATGAAGTCATGATATTAAATATCACAACTAAACACATCATAAGAAGAACAAAGAGTTGGCCAAAACAAAACAAAACGAAAAATGTTATTGACTCTGTTGTGCTAGGCTGTTCAGTTTGGGAATACCAAGCAAAGTGGGCAGAAAGTCCCATAGGAAGCAGCCAAGAACATGAGACTAGTGCCAGACGTTTTTTCATCGTGTATGGACGAACTCTGTGTACAGTTACCTTGGTTGATCTGAACCGTTCCACACTTATTATCAGTAGACTAGTCAAAGTCACATACATGGAAGCATTGCTGAAGGAGTAGTAAGCCGCCGTACATATAGTGATGGCTAGAACGTCATTATCCCAAAGATCACAGAGATGTGGAAGACGAAGTAGAAAAGTAAGGAGGTCATACGAAAACACAACAGCAATGAGAATATCTGAAACGGCCATGTTGATGATCAAATGATGGATGTTCCTTTTCACGGTGAATCTGGCAGCGAGGAAGATTATCAAAATATTGCCAAACACAGCAAATCCACCCACTAACAAGATGGCCATTATCTTTACGGTTAGTACAAGATGTGAATCGGGTACACTGAAGCACGACAAACTGCTTTGCGTTAGGTTGTCCGAACCGTTCATGGTTTGAGCTGAACTGATAACGAGCCTGTCCCTTCCACCTTCAATCTCCTACTGACGAAATGACTCCTTACTGAACTCAAATATATTTGGCCTTCAAAATAATTAACTCAAAACCAATTTACCCAGGAAAAAGTTTTCCGACTGTGAACGTTGACAGTCTTTAAAATAGTTGTTATAGTAATGAAATTTAACATTAATAATTCATTCAATTTTTGCTAATAGTCGACGAMTTCTCTTGTTTAAGCTTGTTGTCTTAGGTTTCTTGACTATTACGTGTTAATAACTGTTCATGTTATTTTCATTTCATTTTCGGGATCTCAGTACACCTTAAAAAGTTCCTACTAAACAAGGTATTATTTGATTCTAAGGAAGACGATCGAACCTGCTTTTTCGAAGAAACTGTAAATTACAATTTAAAAAGGTTGAAAATACTTTGGGCCGCTCCAAAATCAAAACTCTAAATAGATGAAAAATCTTACAAATTCTATTAAGGAACTATCATGTTTTGAACTTCAACAGGGCGAAACCTTAACATTTTGCAAGATACTCTATATTCTCCTTTCAATTTTCTAAAAGAACAGGTGAAAAGTTGGAAAAGTAATTACTGGGCGAACACACTAACCAGGACCACTTGAATAAAACTGACCAATCAGATAACAGTAAACTAGACAGAGATTGAACTGATAACAGTGTTAGCCAATCAGATTATCACGTTGTCACGCTCTTCTTAATTATGTCCATGCGCCATCTGATTGGCTGGTTAAAGGTATTGAACTAAATTGTCGCAATATGATTGGTTAATGAGGCTAGTTTATCTAGTGTTGCCGGTTGGAGTATCCGCACAGTAGTGGAACTTTGTAGGTTTGTGAAGTTTTTGTTGTTATCGTTTGACATCGATTTTCTTTTCTTCAGGAGGGGGAAAATGCTAAACTTTAATTTATTCTTGAAAAGTCCGCTAAATAATTTTAGCTAATTCTCTGAATCATCAAAGTAGAAATTTCTGAAAAAATACTTCCACTACGCAGCTAATTTACTTTTTCAAGTTATGAATTATTTTGTGGGAACTGGTTGGTTCCTGTCATTTCTCTTTTCAAAACTTGGCAAGAAAATAATATTAACATTTCATGATCTCCAAAAACGATGTTAGAAGAACCTCCATTTTCGTTCTTTGTTTTGAATAAGCGTTAAATTTTGTGAGCTTTCTCGTGCAATTTTTACTAATAGTCGACAATTGCTCTTGTTTAAGCTCGTTGTGTTTGCTTAGGAAACTGAAGTTTCGTAAAATTATCCGGCTGTAAAGTACACAACTAGCGCTAAAATACACCGGGTGAATAAATAGTTTATTGTACAACACGAAAAAACTCGTTTTAAAATCGTTGTTATAGTAAAGAACAAATTTTGTGCAATTTTTACTAATAGTCGACGACTGCTATTGCCGTTTAAGCTTGTTGTCTTTGTTTTGGAAACTTAGGTTTCTAATTGATTTTTACGAATTTCCTTTTACAAATTTTTTTTTTCAAATAGAAGAATACGATACAAAGTTCAAATATTCCGGTTTTTGAAAAATTTCACTATTTTGTTTCCGAGTTATGACTTTTTAAATGAACTGCATCTTTGATGCATAAGAAGTGTTTTGATGTTGTCATAGTAATGTCTTTCATTGTGATCTTTGGTTTATGGTCTTTGGCTTTCCTGGTTTACTTGCTGTCATACTTTAGCCATATTAATCTTTTTAGTTCATAATTGTGAGTGTATGTGAAGGCACAAAACACTTTCCAGCCTCCTTAAAGAAGTTCCCGTCTCTAATTTATGCTCTGTTTTTTTTGTTTTTTTTTTTTTTTTTTTTTTTTTTGCATTTGAGGCCAACATTATGTTCTTTACAGCAATGAAGTTGTTACAGCAATGTCGTCCTTTGTAAAAATACTTTGGTGTAATTAGAGGTTTTACGAACCATTTAAGGCCCCGTCCCATGGGCCTTTTGATCAGGGTGGGGTCAAGTATCCAAATATTTTTTTAAAACATAATTTTTCTTTGTGCATTTGCATTAAAAACGCAACTTTTCAAAAACGGATGCCTGTGGACGGATGAAAACAATTTTTAACCGAAATAGAAAAATCCGTTCTTAAAAACACCTGGACAAGTGTAGACGGAGTCTTAGAGTTTGACATCATTTCTTAAGGTACTTGTGGCTCAAAATTTTGAGTATTGAACTGAGGGCCAAGAATAYAGTAATGTTTGTGCTCGCTTGGAACCGGAAATACGTCACTTATTTTTTCATTTGGAACCTCGATCTCGTTCTTGAACCTGCACTACTCTGTTCAGCAGTAATTCGCCAAAGTCTGAAAAGGAAAAAAAGTGACCAAAAAGTTTTGTTATTTTTCTCCAAGTTTTACTTAAATTTTTGGTTTGATTTTAAAATCAACAGCAGCAATTGCGATAACTACGATATGAGTCGTTTGAGCACTTTTGAAGGCAAGTATAAATCACTATTTGGAAATCATTGATCTTTCTTTCTATATTACACAAAATGGTTCATTATGACTTACTTGTTTGATAGAAGCAAAAGATTAATCATTTGGCCTGACTAATTCGTAGTGGAGAAGAAAAAAGTATCTATAATTACCATTTTTTAATGTCTTTCCTCAGTTAAGACACCTTCTTCCTTTAAAKTATCGTGATTTCCCTCGTGAAAAAGGCAAAAAATGTCTGCGATTTCTAAAAACAATTTGCTGCTCTGAAGCTTATTTGTTTTCTAAATAAGCTTACTTTAAGCTTAAAATAAATAACATATATTTTCTCTTTTCTGTCATAAAATGCCTCGTACAGAAGCAACACGATGGTAAGTACAATATTGAACTTTGAATTCTCTGTAATGGATGTAAGTACGAACTTGTTTCTGGTACTTTGTCAGATTAGAAAGAACTTAACTTCCAATTTAGCTG